GCGAGCACGTGGCGAGCGAGGCTCGCACGTGCGCGGTACAGGCACTGCGGGCTCCGCGCGATAATTGACGCGCGTTCGACGCGAACGTCCGCGCTCTCGGCTGTCACGGAGAAATCGCTTCGACGGCGGATGCCCGCGCGCTCGCCTCCTCGCGAACGACCGAGCTTTTGCAGAGGCGATGTGCCCGCGATACGTTCCGCTGCCGAGACAGTCGAACGAATGAATTAACCATATATACACTCACTCGCCTGGCCCCCTTACGAACGTACGCGCGCATTTCAGGATAGACGATAAGCCGTTATGTTTGCGTTAGTCGCGCGGAGAGGCGCGCACTGTCAAGTGCCTCGGCACACATACCCGCCACAGAAATGACGAGAAGGAGACGCGAGAGATAAAGAAAGAGGGAGAGAGAGAGAGAGAGAGAGAGAGAGAGAGAGAAAACGGCTTTTCCTTCGGCGGGAGCGACAAATCAGATTCCAGCCGGCGCGAGATCAGCGATGCGTCAAAGCGTCGTTAAATTTTCAATTTTCTCCGGCCACGGGACAATGCCAGCGCTGGCAACGGAAACCGGAGCCGGCCATTGTTCTCTCCTTTCGCCCCTGATAGCGCGCGATCGCGAGTCGAACGACGTGCTCTCGTGGTCGATGCGCGATCAAACGGCCGACTGTCGAGCACTCTCTTTCTCTAGCTCGCGAGCGCGCTCCGCGGGCATCGTTGGGATTGCGTCGATCTGCATCCGCGATGCATATCTTTCTCTCTCTCTCTCTCGGTCCGCGGGCAAATTAATATCCACACCTTTTTCGAGCAGCCCCGTCTCTCTCCCACTCTTCCTCTTTTGCATTTTTCGCCAGGGGGATAATTAATGAAATTGAGCGAGAGGCCCGCGCGCGACTGCGAACAAATAAAACGAAGAATCGTATTATTCATCGCCGGGCGATAAATCGAGCGCTGCAAATATAATGAGCTTTTCTCTTTCGAATCGCGTCGACGATTCTTGTCTCTCTCTCTCTCTTTCTCTCTTTTTATCGTCTTCGTAATTCCATGCATTAATCTTGCAGTAACGGCGTCTTTTTATTGCGCGCGATCAAAGCGCCATTTTCACTTTCCTAATTGTGCGCGCGGATTCGACGGACTTTACGAACGCGCGCGCGCGCGCATCGAGCTCTCGCGCTTTATCGCGAGCGTACGATCTTCACTCGCGGATTTCGGGCTTCTCTCCGGCCTGCTCCTTCAATTCGAAATCGAGGCGATAAATCAAAGGCATATAAATAACGCCAGCGACGACGTAGGCGAGCGCGCGGGCCAATCGAATTCTCGCGGCGTGATTGTTGCGCGGCTATAAACCATGACGCGGCATTAAAGTCCGCGCGTGTTTTTTTTTTTTTTTCTTTTTTTTCTCTCTTTTTTTCCTTTCCGTATGTAATTTGTTGCTGCGAAAGAAAGAGAAACGAGATTCTTTCGCGCGGTATTAACGAGGAAACGATACAACTCGCACGCCCGTGATAATCGACAGGGCATATACATGTAACGTGAAAAGAGTTTGTCTTTCTCGCTCTCTCTCTCCATCTCGGCTCGATTCGACGATGTAGGCATTCCTTGAATCGTGACGCGCAATACCACGGCACTGTTAATCAAACGAACCACGAGATTTCGTGGAAAAGCCGCCGGGAGAAAAGAAGAATCAACTGGTACCCAACGTCGAGCCCGAATAAAGCACGCGACACCGGATTGCCGAACTGCAATCCGAAGTATAACGCGTTTCGGGCAGGCGTGAACGGGAAAAGGGAGGGCGAGGGACAAGGCAGTTGGCGCGTGTTTACACGACAGCCTCGTGTCGAAGAGCGCGCGTCTCCGCGTTGCTGGCTGTCGGAGAGGCCTTTTTTTTCTTGTTCTTTTTTTTTGCTTTTCGTACCTCCCTTTTTTTCTTCTCTCTCGGTTAATTGCTTTTCCCTTCCGCGAGAATAATCGAAGCGCGCGTCCCTTCCGAGTGGACAATAGGCGCTCACGCGAGCGATGAAGAGAGGCGGCGCGTTGGCGAGCGAGCCTTTGGTCGAGCAGCCCTTCCGAGGGAAGGAAGATTGATATTTAAATGGGAGCAATTAGCCGGAAGCACGTTGCCGGAGCCGAGCGTCCTCCTCTCCGACTTGGGCCGGCTACGCGTGCGTCCGCTGCAATTTCAAGCCCTGGCAGCGCGCGCGTCCATCTCGTCGAACGCCACGTAATTGCGTATCGCGGGGGAGAATCGTTTAATTCCAGAAGCCGGCGCATGCCCCTCGTAATTGTTGCTCGCGTGCGTTTCGCGTGGGAAATGAAGACGCTTGGAATGTGCACGCGAGAGCTAATCCGACTGCGATTTATAAGTTGGCCCGCGGCCCAGCAGCCCAAATATTCGACGCAGCGGGCTTGCGCAACGAGAAAGAGACCGCGACGTTAGCATGCACGATCAAACTGTAGAATTAGAGCGCGCGGCAGACGTGTAATTGCCGCTGATCTCGCTGATGGATCACTGCTGCGAGCGAGCTTTAATCGCTCTGGCTACCGTTCGTTTTATTTCTTTACTAATGATTGTCAATTGATATATTGTGGTGTTGGCCACTGTCCAAGTGTGCTGCTGCATTGTTACCTGCTGAATAATTAATGGGCTCAGGTTATGACATCGTTATACTAGTTTATAGGCTATCTTTGCGATATGCTATCTGTCTCTCCGCGTTTATTATGTTGGCTTATTGTCAATGATACTCGCGGCTGATTTATTATGCCAATGCTATTCTCAACGCCAGTGGTACCAACCCACTTTTGTCCGTTGTAAAAATAGTCGTGCCAAACCTTTGCTCGACCGTTCCTCATCGGAAATCAATGCTTTTCCAAATCGTAAAATCCACACGGTTAACTAGCCTTCCAAGCGAAAAGACGTAGATCAAACGATCCCCGAACTAGCTACAAGTGGCTTTTATTAAGTTGTAAATCTATCGTAACGGAAACTTAGATGGCTGAAAAAAAGTGCATTGTTTTTTCTTTCGAATGGGCTATCAAAATGTTTTCTTGTTTACCTACAAAAAAAAAGATAACGTCAACTATTGGATTATCCGACACGAATGAATTTCGTCATAAAAAATATTCTAAAATTTCGGAAATCTATTACGATTAAAGTGTGGTGAAAAAAGATAAAATCGTAAAAGCTTTTCGAAAGATTCATTCACAATTCTACTATTAAATTAGTTGCTTACGAGAGTAAAATATTCGTTTATATCGTTCGACGTGTCAACTGAAGAAAAACTGTACATGTAAAAAAAAATTATAATAAATTAATTTAATTTAATCGATTAATTAATTAACGAGGATCTGGAGACCCACGTAGAAAAGTCACAGTTCATGTTTGCCATGACAGTGACGACAAAAAACCGGTGCACTATAACTTTCTACATAAAATTACGTATAATGGGACATTCGTTAAACTACTTATTTTCAATTGTTATTCGCAGTTAATTGCTTGTCAAATAAATCAGTCGGAAGTCCGAAATAGCCGCAACTCCAACGGTTTTTTCAAGCTGATCGTCGGTAGACAACAGATCGGAAAAGACGAAAAAGTTTTCCACCGCAAAAGCCTCCTATTGAAAGATGCGTCGTAGCATTGAAATGTGGGGGCGCGCGCTCTCCGCGACGGCACCCCGCTGTTGAACGTCGCCGGCCTCACTAATATCATTTGCCATTGGGACGTAGACTAATGCGACGCGCACAAACTGCAGCGGCGTGTCAATGAGAGGGATTTCTGTGCCGAAGGACTCTCGAAAGTATCCAGGGAGGCGCTCAGCGAACGTCTTGATCTTTTATTTTTTTTTCTTTTCCTTTTTCACGAGAACTGCGGAAACAGGTGCAAGAGATGTTTACGATTTTTCAACATCGATCGCGTCGATGGAATTTCAAGGAAACGTGGAAAACAAAGTGAGATTGATTTGCTCCGAAGATCTCGAGCGATAAGCTTCGCAGGAATGAAACGTACAGGCTTTATAAAAACATTCTATAAAATGTCGACACTCGCGTATTCTAATTCAAATCAAGCGATTTCGTCTGCCGTAAACATCAAATTCCAAACGTCTCCATTCCGCCAGGAAAACATAAAAAATTCCGGTATTATTTTAACGTCACTCATCAAAACATCAGCCGAGGGGCATGCAAACTTTCTCGCTAGCGCGCGACGCACTGCGGATATCTCTATTTAATCGCGATCTCGTATATAAAAATGTTTTTAATAGTCTCGCGCGGGCAAGGAAAAAAAACAACGAGAATGAATAAATAAAAAGAGAAGAAGAATTATAAGTTACGCTGGCGGCATGCTTAACATATAAATGAAGCCGCTGCGCGTTCGTAAAAATTTTTATATGGCCGCACGTTATTACTTTTTTTCACTCCGAGCAGCTCCCTCGGCCGTAGGTCTCTCTCTCTCTCTCTCTCTCTCTCGATTCTATTTTGAACTTGCGTATATACACATACGCGCGAGAACGAGATGCATTAGTGCATATGCAACAGCTTCCGAGGAGGAGGGTGGAGAAGACGACAGATACAGATTAGAGTTTTTCTTACGAGACCGTTGGGGCACTTTTATCGTCTGTACGAAGTTGATTACCGGGCGGTTTTTATCTCGAGATTTATTGCTTTGGGAAATTGATTTTACGTATCTTTCTTCGAAAGACCGTATACATCTGTATCAAATGCAGCGCTGCCGATAGATTTACTCGGCGACGATGGCTCACAGTTACGAGATTAAAATTTGTAAGAGGGATACCGCGAATAGAAGAAATTGCGGGGCCACTAGTCGAAACTAGTGCGCGATAAATTTGGAATGGATTAATGAGTCGCAGATGAAAAGATTCAAAATGGAGAACAAGATGGCCTTCGACAAGGAAGCCGTGCGAGCAGTGGGCACAGCTGTTGGAATCAGCCAGGGCGCAGGCGGCGCAGGCGGCGCTGGCGAAAACATAGAAAACGAACGCAAACTATACCTTTTGCAACAAACTGAGCGTGGCCTCGTTGAACGAGCCATTCTTGCTGTCGTCACTGACACTCTCGTTCTTAGCGTTGACATCCTCATCCTCCCAACTGTCAGCGGAATAGACCGCCTCGGGAATGGACGGCTCGATCACCATTTCGTAAACATTGTTCGGCCTCTGCGCCTGCTGCCCCGTCTCCTCTACCTCGTTCATGCTTTCGTCGGTAATGCTGATTACGAGCGACAAGAAGAAAAAAATCACGCAGGTCTATGCGTAGGTCAGGAACGGCAATAACAGGAAATCACACATGTGTACAAGGACGAATCGACTGGCAGTTAGCCCGGCGCTGTAACAAGCCTCGACGTCAACAGAGAAACTGCCGCTGAGAAATTTAGAGGGGTTCCTGCCTGAGGCTCCTCTCTCGCTCTCGCCGCATGGGGTATATACACAACAGCCCAAGGATCCTCCTCCCCACCTCGAGCCTACCATCGCTCGATCTATCTGACTCTCCTCTCTCTCCCCACCACTGGCCGTGGGCTCACACTCGCAGCATACAAACTGCGCGATGCGCTTTCCCCCGAGAGAGACCCCGAAAAGACACGCCCGACGAATTTGGGCTACGGCCGGAATATCTTCGTCGGCGATCGGCGAGCGCCGCGCGGCGATTTTTCGGACTGGCGCCTGCCCGGGATTCGCGGGGGCAGCGGGGGCAGCGGGGGCAGCGGGGAGCGGCCAGGAGCAATGTTTTTTCTACGTGACCCTGCCTCTATTTGTTCGGAAAATATTGATGGGCCGGTCGGCGACGAGCTTAGCTCGCCGGCTGCTCGTTAGCGACGCTGCGAAACTGCATGCTGCGACGGTGGCAACACCACCCGCGCGCGAGCGAAGAAAAACAGCGCCAGGAACGCACGGCTAATCGCCGCCAAAGCGGGTTCCACGATATCTCCAAATAATTGCTGCTCCTAAGTAGCTTAGGGTACGAGCTGAGAGACGAGCTCACGACCGAGCGAGCTCGTGTTGTTGTTGCCGAATCAAAATGGTCGACTGCGCGTGAAGGTCGGGATCGACCTACCGATTCAGTCGCAGACGAGCCGGGCTATCGGCGATCGCTTATCGCCGTGCTCGTTAGATCGGACATTAGCGAAGGACGCTTAACTGCACTCGATGGGCTCTCGCAGGGCCCACGGGGCTGACCGTGGCGCGCCGGAGAAAGCAAATTCGATTTTAATATCGTGCGCGGGGCCCTCGACCAGTTGGGCCCTTTGCGCCGCTTTCGACAGCCTCGCCATTACGACACATATATATATAGACTCGCTTCATAAGCAATAAATAACTCCAAAAAGCATAGTAACGTTGAGTCACGACCACGTCTCCCAGGTAGAAAACGCATGGCAAATATTTTTCGATTTTCGGCGCGCAGTCGGGATTAGAAATCCGCCGTCTACCTGCAGACGCACGAAGCCCCATCGATAGATCGGCCCATTCACGCGCGGACTATTTGTTTAGAATTTCGGATGAGCTCTGTCGGGGGGTCTTGTTATGCTTTTTCCGACATTCCCGGAAAATTCTCTACGCTTTACCGAAATCACTAAATAATGGGCTGCTTTACGAGCCAGCGAATCTTTTGTCGGCGCGAATTTTCGACTTCATTATAACGTCGCTCGCGCGTAAATCGCCCAATCGGTTTTCCGCGCGGCGCAGCTGCTCGGCTATCGGATATATTGCATCTTCCTTGAGCAGCGCGCTGACGAATGGTGAGCTTGGAGCGAGAGAGGTGGGTGCAGTAGCAAGTAGCGACAAGTGAAAACCTCGGGGATCAGGAAAAAGAAAAGGGGAAGAGGGCAGCAATAATAAAGCGCCAGGCATTTTTCTGGCAGAGCAAAGTGGAGAGAGAAAAATAGCCGCGGCGAGAAAATGGATTTTGGTGCGCTCTGAGGCGGCAATTAATCAAGCTCAAGGTTGCATAATAAGAAACGAGCTCATCTTGTGTATTATAACCATCTCCAACTCTCTCTCTCTTTCTCTCTCCCCGATGATTGGTACAAAAAAGAGAGCGTATTTTTTCCACGGCCGAGCACTGCCGAGGCACGCAAGGATTAAGTAGTTGGCCGTTGCACCTGCAAATCAGTTAGTTTCAGCACTGGCCAATCAACGACCACAATGAAGGCGGACGTGTGGCCGGAATCCTCGCTCGGTGGTTTTTCATTATACTGTCCGGGCGGTTGCGTTGCACCACTTGCCCGTCTAGTCGTCGTCAACCACCACACACAGATTTCTGAACAATTTATAGGCACCCCGCTGTCGTCCTTATGACGGATGTTAGCAGGCGAGTTTTATGGGTAGAATAATGGATTTGGAAAACGTTGCCAAATGCCAGGAAAGTCCGAGGTATTGTTTACGTTGCGTCTTACAGACAGAATTTCAAAGCGACATCGGCGATCGGCGAACGCTCTATTTACGTATACCAGCAAGGCAGAGAGGAAGAGCAAAACAAAAGGAACTGTGCCTACTTACGGCGGCGATTTAATATTTGGTCCAAGGCGCCGGAGAGTCACCCCTTCTCGCACCCATGGCAACGCAGTACGGCATCCTCTCCTCTCGATCTCTTCTTTTTTTACTCGACTCGCGTGCCCGTGCGTCTGTGTGCGCGCGCTTGCATCGCTTCGCTCATAACTTATCAATTTTAATGACTCTCCGCGTCGCTGGCCGATGAAAAGCCTATTTCGTAATTAAATTTGACCGCGTCATTATCTTTATATCGCATTTCTTTTCGCAGGCTCGTTGTTGCTCGATAAGATCATTGAGGCAACTTATCGTTAACGAGTTTTCAAAGTGACCAAAGTAACGTGGAAGTCATTCGGAAAATTTGCGATGATGCGTCGTAGCACGGCAACGGAAGGTTCGACCGGCTTGCTAGAAGATAACGCTACGCCGGGGTAATGACGAGGATGACAGCGCCGTAGACATGACGCGGCGGCGCTGCGGAGGTTATTCGTGAAAAATTAGTACGACCTTGCTGCCAACCGGCAATTAGGAAAATTCAATTGTACCGCGTGGCTCCTTTCAGTCTCGATCGTATTTCGTGCGCCAATTTTTGGGACTCGGACCTGGCTGCTTTCGTTTCCACTTTTATCCAGGACTCATCTGTCTTGTGGGCGGCCGACAAGCCCAAGGACTTTTAATTTATTTCCAAGAAAGTTTTTACGAGGCTACGCTGTTAATTTATAGCTAAGGGTACAGGCCCACTTTTTCCAGTTGTCATATTTTCCTTCGCTTTTGCCATTGGGTTGACATCACGCGCTACCGAAATTACCGTGGCGCATTGCCACGTTCATTTTCGCGCGGCCATTTTCGTATACGAGGCGGTAACCCAATGTAATGGACTGAAAATTGGAGCCATTCGACAAAATTGAGTAGGACAACCGCATTAGAGATCGTATTTACGCAAAGGCTGTTTTACATGGTCATTGTCCAAATGTTTTTTTACTTAAAAATATTGGTAGAGCGCTTAAATGACTTTCGTTCAGTATAGCTTGGGACAATTTTGCAATATCTTAATAATACATTGGACTATATTTCATTAGAAATATACGAGAAAATATATTGAGAGTGAAGAAAGTACTGGTGAAGAGTAATTTTTGTAACGGACTATTTCTATATTCAATAAATTGCTTTTTAAAATTAGAATTCAAATAAACGATCAATCATAATGTAAACGTCAAACGCGCAAATAAACCAAAACGCATATCTTCGGCGTTAACTCGCAAATGTGAAAATCAAATCGTAAAAGCGAATTTCGCAATATCGCGCTTTCTCGACACTTTCCATCGCGCGCGAGACACATCGCGCTTGACAATCGACTCTGGCGTCGCCTCGCGTGAATCTTCTCTCTCATCTCTCTCGTCGCAGGCGTGCGTGTTATATCGTAAATCCTCGTGGAAAATATTGTCGGTGTCATAAAAGCCTCATGCCCGTCGCGCTCTGTTCACCCCCGCGCACCATCAGTCCAAAGTAGTAAATCCTCAATTACATTATTGACCTCTCTTTCTGCTCTCTCTCTCTCTCTCTCTCTCTCTCTCTCTCTCTCTCTCTCTCTCTCTCTCTCTCTCTCTCTCTCTCTCTCTCTCTCTCTCTCTGCCTCGACTTTTATACCTGTGGTGACAGATTCCCTCTGAATTTTTGCCAGCCTCTGGCTCTTTATGCACTACTGCGGAAAAAAAATAGATTGTTTTTTCAAATTTCTTTTTTACTTTTTATTCTTTTGGCCGTGATTTCGGAAAAGAGAAATCGAATAAATTATGAGTTATAGCGACACATTTTCGACGTGATTTACTCGCAAGTGAGAGAGGGAGAGAGAGAAAAGCAGTAAGAAGGAAGGTTCGCAATGAAAATATTTCCCACTGCAATCGAATGTCAATAATAACGCGGAGAGCTCGCGGACAGTAAATCACTTTGCCTCGCGCGCAGAAACTTATTAGTCAGCGGCGGCGGTGCAATCGCAGTTGCTCACTTGCTCGGCCCGACTGCTGCTGCTGCTGCTGCTGTTCTCGCGCGTACGACGCGCGCGCAAAAACTTATTAATTGTATTTCAGCTACTTAATGCGCAACAATGTCGGCTTTTTCAATTACTTAGCCGAGGATAAATCTGAGAACAATGCCGAATAGCAGAGCCGCCGCGTCGCTCGGTTTCGCGCGCGCGCGCGTTTTGCGAATAATCGTAAAAGCCGAATAATAAATCAGCTCGCGGGCAGGCGTGGCTCTCGATGTGAGTTATCGCCGGAGTTGACGGGATTTCATCGCGCGACTGGCCGGCGGCCGCGTCCTCGGGACCGCATCGGCCGATTGCCGCATTTCGGGAGCAAAACGATCGGTGCTCCGCGAGCGCCGCTGCCCGCGGAGCGCGAAGCGACAGGTAGCCCGCGCGACGCGACAGCTGCCAGCCTGCAGTCACGAGCGCCGGGCCGCGATCGTCCGAGCGCTGCAGCGGAGTCGGCCGGGAAGCGAGGAAGGAAGGTGGTGCGCGACGGAGTGATAAATGATCGAGTATTTAACACTCTTTACGGATTAGCATATAAACTACGGCCAGTCCATAGATCTTGGCCTGGCACAAGGCATTAAGCGCTCGCCGCGAGTCTGCGGGTGTAAGTGATCTCTCGTCCCCCCTTCTCCACCCGCCCCCGCCCCCCTCTCTCTCTCTGACGCGCGCGCGCGCGCGCGCGCCTGCGCCAAGGATCCCGAGAGGAGGAGTCCCAAGCCGTTGTTTGCCTCGCTAACAGTTCTTTGCTCTCCGCGCCGATTCTAGTAGCCGGCGAGCACTGGACTCTGGATTTTTCGTATTTTTTTTCTTCTTTTTCATCTCTTTC